TGTGCATGTCCCATAAGTATAAAAAAGCTTATCAGTCTTTGAGGATTTTACGTTTAAAGAGTCGAACGTCAATTTTTGCAAGAAAGACTTCAGGGAAAATTTTACTGTTTTGCTTTCAATCAATTACGGAAGTGCTCCCAGCTAGCCTATCAGTCATAGATGTTATATTCTTCTGGTAAAATTCAAATGCTTTCTATGTTGCACATCTGATTCAACTGTTTTGACGCAGCAAAGGCAACGTAGGTATGCATGCAGATCCCTCTCGGCACCACTTAAATATTCACACGCTCATTTAGGCAGACTGGTCTCTCGTTCTTGATTCTGCAACGTAAACAAAGTGCTGTCCAGTCAAAGGATGAGAAAAATCAATAGATCCGTAAATCGCCAAATGTTTTCACATTAATCAGTTCATTTTCTGCTTTCTCGCTCCACTCACCAGCAGAAATTTTTATTTTAGCTAATTTCTCAGCAAATTCCACTTATATGTTCGTAACAAGCACTGCGTTCCAGAACTATGGGGACGGTGAGCTGAAGTTTTCTGCCCCGTTATTCATAATTACTTCAGAGTTGTCCCTCCACTGTTAACCTTGGCATACATTCTCATTTAATTTCCCTGCCTTCATCTGCTAGTCAGTAAATGTTTTTTCTTTTTTTTTCATTCAGATCTACTAATTTTTTGAAATACAGATTGTAGGAGGCGAAGGAGGAAAATTTTTGTCTTTGGAAACATTTTACAGAAGAACAGCAATTTTACTGTAATTAGTACACACTGCTGTTAACCCGATGCACTGGCTCATCCGGAAGTCGAGGGTGTTATTTTATGGGTGGGTAATTGTCGACATATTGCACAACACTGTCTTTAAGCATCATACCTGTTTGAAGGATAATTTCTAAGAATTTTATGAAAGCATAAAAATATCGAAACAATTCCAAATGCATTAAACTCCATGGGAGCCCCATTATTACGAGGGATTGTCCGAATCCAGTTTTGTGGTGCATCTTGGAACCATTTTGCCAAAAGTTTTGTCTGCTGATAGCAGAGCAGCTTGAATCTGAAAAAAAACACAGTTGCGGAA